AGAAAAAAATCTGGGTTTTTATTCGTGGTAGTTTTTTTCCAAAAAAAAAAAAAAAAAAAAAAAAAAAACACTCATCTTTTAACATCAAATTACTTATAGGCTATTTTGATTTACTGCTTATCTGCTTAGACACAAGAAATTTACAGTTAAATTTACAGGTACATTTCGCAAAAGTAAATGAGTACATGAATTCGCTGATTGTACCTCTACTGTATAGCTTTATATTACCATCAAATCTGAAAAAAAAAATCTGTCAGAGTAAAAGGCCTTTATGTTTAGCCAGCATTCACAATTTAAGTTTAAAAGCCACATTTCTAACCATTTTTTTGTTCTGTTCAGATAAGAAAACATGCCTTTTGTATCATCAAAATCCCCCTTTGTTTTTATTTTGACAAAGCAGCAAACAGCTTCATGCAGCTACTTTGTTCTCATTACATGTGATTTATTGGAATAAATACACATCAAACAGAAGTAAAAACATAACTTCTCTTTGTAAATAAGCAACGTCCTCTGGGGACCAAACTGCTCCAAGCTAATAAGAGGAAAATCAAAACTGAAATGTCCAGCAGTGCTTTGATACAACTAGGACTAGAGTGGAAACTTATGATATCATTAAGTGTTTTACCATTTTACCAGCAGCTTGCACTTCATTCCTCCTCATTCTACCAGAAAAAAAAAATGCATAGCTGCTAATGAGCAGCTCTATTTTTCCAAGCTCTTATTTGTGGTCAAGCTGTGAGCGCGGGCTACAAGCCCGTAGGGTGCAGGGACTCACCTCTTTCTCTCCACATATATTGCTGATGATGGAGTTAGAAGCTGGACTGGCAGATGGGCCGAGGACTGCCACAACCCCTTTAGACATTATCTGGCACACTAAAAGGAAACAGAGACACATAGGGTGAGAATTTTAGAATTAGGTAGCAGGGAAATGTATCTAATAAAGCTTTTGGTCATATTTGAACAGATACTCAAGGAAACTGTTACAAGCTCTAAACAAACAGGTAGAGACAGGCTTGCTCGAATGCCTAAAGGGAATTTCCTGCTATATGAATATGGACAAAGACATGTCCCCAGATCTATGTCAATCTGTCGCAAGCTAATCTTGTAGGAAGGATTGATATTAATGCGATATGTGCTCACATATGGAGACAGAAAACATAGAAACTGAAAGAGACACAGATCAACAGAGTGACAGACGCCAAGAAAGGCACAGAGACAGAAATAGCAATATCTGGAGGCTTAAAAGCTGAAATCTGGTATTTGAATATTTGCACATGAATGGAATAATATCCCCAAAAGTGGCACACATCTTGTCTTGTTCTCTGAATTCTACATTTACAAGGACTGATTTAAAGGCTTTACCTTTGGGGTTGAAAACATATCTTTTGACAGAAACATTTTAGTGAAAATGAGTTTTACTCCTCTCTTGTGTACACATGCTTTCATCTTTCAAACTGGAACACAGAATGGTGTTTCTTGTCAGCTTATAATCCCTGCTTTATAATTAAAACACTGCTGACTGTGGTGTGGAGCTGGGGGAAAGCACAGAACTGTGCCGCTCTTGTGTGTGTGCCAGGTGTGTGTAAGTCCTGGTAGTTTTGTGTTGGTTACTGGGGCAAAAGAGAAGCAATTATCAGCCATGTGTGCGAAAGTGGGTAAACTTCTTTAGGGCTGAAGAGACAGAGAATCAAATTATTAATAATTGTTCTTTCAGTCACCCGTGGGAACTACAGCATGACACATGACTTAACTGCTGCAGAACAACATGCATATGTATGATCCTCTTCTCTTGGCATGCACACATAAAAATATCTGCACCTGTCTGTGCAGCTTCATTGAAACATAGAGTGGATTGATTTGGCTGCAAGCCAAGATGCTGCTGTTTGTTTTGAAATTGTGACTAAGTGTACAAACTGGCTCTTGTACTTTTATTTTATACAACTAATTAAAAAGTGGACATGGACCCTTTTTCTAACATCTATTTTCCATACATTTTTAAGCCTGCTATTATTTATGGGATCAATTTGACCTCAAAGATAAGGTCATCTGCAGCATATCCAAAGTGCAATAACCACATGTAACAAGGATGCCATACACCAATATGCGCCATGTTTGTATTCATTGTGCAAGATGTAAATTTCATCCTCACCAGAACTTTGGAAATTATATTTTGCATTGTCAGGATGGAGTTTTGGCCCCCATGAGAACGCCTGGTTGCAACAAGGTTGATGTCGAGCTCATAAAGGTTATAGTTTAATCAGTACACGGCAGCAAAAAGTTTAGCTTTATGCATTGATTCAGCTCACTTGGAACACCACATAGGCAATGGCTTAGACACAGCATTTATGATCTGTGTGGAATGCATCCCACCTCTCACACAACGTTATGAAAAATTAGCACAAACATTTTGTCTATGAAAGTTATCAGCATTGATTTCTAGGACTATAATTTGGATGTTTTTATTTTTTATTTTAAAAAAATTGAAGAATAAATTTTTTTATGTGAAACTCAATGTTTTTGTTAAAAATGTAGCTTAACGTGAAAAGTTTTTGTTCATCGATTTAAATCACTGGATTCCAGTGTTGCAAATGCTTTCACTGCCTCAAGGGTATAAAATTCAACACAAAGTCATGCAGACTGCAGCTACAAATGCTTGTGAAAGACGGGGTTCATTCTCAGGTGCTCGGTGGAATCCGTTGTGACACCATGACTGGGTGCCATCTGTACAGCAAGTTTAGTTGTGATATTACCAAATACTTCACAGTCTACTGTATTAAAACAAAGTGGAGGTGACTGGCATCATGAGCACGTCAGTCGCAAAGTGGACTGTGTAAATTACAGAGCAGGGTCAGCAGATGAAGAAATAGTGAAATAGTGCGCAGAGCTCCATAAATTTCAACAGACTTAATAGCTACAGATTTCCACACTTTATGTGGTCTTCAGATTAGCTCAAGAACAGTATAATATGACCTTCAATCAAGTGCAACATAAAATATCTAAGTGGTTTAAAACATGCTGCCACTGGAGATGAGAGCAGTGAAGACATTTTCTCCAGAGTGTCTAATTATCTCTCCATCTCTCAATCAAAAGGATAAAGTTGGGTTTGGCAGTTTTCTGACAAAAGGCCCAACTATATTGTTTGCTGGACATCCAGGCATGAGGGAACGAACATAGGAGAGGCTGCTATGAAAACTACTGACTCAACGATACACTATGTTAACCTTGGTTACAATGGTTGGTTAGAATCCAACATCTAATTCAAAGAGTTTTTATTCTGATACACTTATTGGGAAGTCCATGGAGCTGTGGCTCTAGAAATACTGGCAACAGTTCGTGTATCCAGGACCTCAGTGCACAAAATACGATTCTGGTTTATTTAGAATTCTGCAAAAGGAACCTTGTAGTTCCAGGTTCCTGGAGATTGCCATCAACAACACCATTTGCCACCCCACCAAGGGAACATAAATGGCAGCTTATTATTGATCCACAGCTAAGATACACCGCTTCACCAAGTCTGGCCGCCTGCCGACAAAACGCCGCTGTGGAAGTACAAACCAGAGCTAAGCTGATGAGACTCACCAGACCCAACAGCACTGCTGGAAAATTAACGTTTTTATTAATTTAATACTGTAACTTTCTGAGACACTGAGTTTTGCATTTTTATTATCTATAAACAAACATCACAATTTAAATAAACAATGTATTTATTTATTTTTTGTGATTAGAATTGTCTTGTTATTGCTTTCCTTATTTTTAGTCCTTCATAGTGTTTCTAGTTAGGTTTATTCTTTAGTTACCTTAGGTTCTGTTATTCGTGTATGTCTGAGTCTATGTCCAGTTTTCTGTAGTGATTATAGTTAGAATATTTTTCTGTAATCCCTTTAGTTATTCCTTATTTCAGTCTCCCTGTAGTGTTTCTAGTTATGTTTATTTCTTAGTTATTTCATCACCCTAGATTCAATTATTCTGACATGTCTGAGTCTAGGTATGCCTTTCTTTTGTGGTTCCAGTTAAGTTATTTCTTAGTTAGTCCTTCTAGCTTCCTCCCGTGGTGTTTCTAGCTATTCTTATCTGGTTACCTTTGGTTTAGTTCTGTTATGTCTGGATCCATGTCCATCTTCCTTTGGACAGATGGACATGGATCCATCTGTCATTTTCTGTAATGCCTTTTCTCTCCTAGTCTTACTGTTTCTTTAGTAGAAGTATTTTCAGCTACACCTGCAATCAGCTATTTCATCTATCTAGGTCCATTGTTCCACTTGCTACTTCCAGGTATTTAAGCTCCTCTATTTTACTCACAACCTGCCAGTCCATCTCGTCACTACCCATGTTACCCTGCCTGGATTACCTGTTGTTCCCTCGTGTCTCCAGTTTGCTTTGTGTTTTTGGATTTTCTTGTACCCTGGATTTTTGTAAGTTGATTTTCTTCATTAAAACATCCACAGCATTCTACATCTGCTGCGATTGGCTCCCCTTCTACACACATCGACACTTCTGAAAGAATGGTTTAAAAATAAAAGTGCAATGAACACACTCTATATCTTTGTGAAAGGCCTTTCTGGAACAATGTGTTTTGGGAGTAACGGGTAGCTGACATGATTAAAGCCAATTTAATCAAGATGATGACATAACTCCAGTATCTATGTGTGTGAAGAGACTCGACCGAATACTTTTTGGTAATATAGTCTAAATTCTCATTGATGAGAACCTGAGGAGTAATACAATAGAGGGGGTTCTTCACCAGAAATCTTGTTTAGACTTCATCTCAGCATTTTTCTAAAGATATTATTTTGATTACTTGAAAAATGTGTTTGATAAACTTTTTATTTTCAACTGAATATGATAAAATATGTACAATATTAGAAGCACTCCTAAGTGTGTCTGTTTATGTGAGCGAGGAAGTGGTCCTTGCTTGATATTTCCATCTACAATAACTGTGGCCACTGATCCAACCCAAATCCAATTCCTGGCCCTAATCACACACACAAAGGATTTGTACTATAACAATATCTAGGCTGCACACAGGAACAGATGCTGCTGTACACACAGAAAAGCAGGAACATTTAGGCTTGTTAGTCTTTATTCAGACAGAAAACATAAAAGTTGTCTGCTTCTCTAGTAAATGACTCTTTGTTTTTATGGAAGCAGCTCCACTGAATCTTTCATGTTTGTTCCACTATATCCCACTGAAAATCAATTTCTCCGCCTTTTGTGGCAACTGTTTGTTTAGAAAATTTGCCGTTTTCTAAATATACACACTGTGCTAAATTGATTTTTTAAGTGTTTTCAATAACAATTTAAAAAGGTCGAGCAATAAAACTTGAGGTTTGAGGAAACCATTTTCCAGTTATCAGCTACAACAAGTAAAAAGCATCAATCACTTAAAACATTTGGTGAGTGTAAATGTGCTCTCATTTAGTTTTACAATTTTCATGGCAATCTTGCTTTAAATAATTGTGCTGTTGATTCCACTTTCACTTTACGCTCCTGTCCCAGAATTTCAGCCAAATCTCATGAAGAAGCTGGTTTCCTACATGCTCCAAAAGTAGCTTTGCTCAACAAAATGGATATCTGAAATTATTGAAAATCGCTTAATTTACTTTATTTAATCAGGGTGGCATCATGATGAAATCCATTTGTTTGAATCCTTTGGACTATTTGTATGGGTTTGCAAGTGTCAACATTGTCACAATACTTTGTTTTTTCCCCCCAAATACAGAATTGTTTATTCTTAGTATCTGAGTAAGTGTTGCACAAAAAGAACTTTAATTCATTGATTGAATGTTTTTTTGGAGACAAGTTCACTCTCTGCTTACTTATATCCTAACTATATTGTCTCACAATTAACTATTTTGATGCAGAAAACATGCAAAATAAACAACTAAAACTTTACAGTTGCCAATAAATGAGAAAACACAGACTAAGTTTGTGCAACATGCTATAATTTCAACTTCTATCTTTGCTCAAAATACAGTCTCATTAGATGACCTTTAGTAGAGGTGAGAACATGAAGTGGGTGGTGAAAAGATGTCAACGTATATTTAGTTTTTCTATAGTTTTTTTGCTTTATTTTTGCTACTTTTCTGGAGCAGTTGGTCACTGGACGCAACACATTTCATATGTATCACCCTGTCTTTTTTCTCAGATTTGACAGAACAAAGCGCACACTAAGAGTTCTGTGAGATATTTGCCACTGACATATTTCCTTATTTGTCAATGTTAAATGTTTCAGATCATCAAACAGATTTTAATGTCAGAGATAACTTCAGTGAATCAAAATACCATTCTCAGACGTAGATTTCATGAAAAGCAATTTTTAAAAGCTTTTTGTACTTATTGCCAGGCCCGGAAATTCAAAAGGAACATTTAATAGAACATCTCTGACCAAATAAAGAAGGTCGAAATACCTTAAAAAAGTTTCCCTTGATCTAACAAAACTCAAGAACAGATGAGAGGCGGCCAGTGACATCTATCAATTTGAGAAGGAAAGTTACAAAACCAATTGTGAAGCTTTGGGATTTGAGGGAACCACAGCAGTGATACCTGATTATGCACAAACAGAGATAACACAGAACAGAGGCAAACTTCCCAGGAATTGCTGACATATTGAAGTTACTCCAGGAGAACATCAATGACTCATCTGGCAGTTAACAAAAGAAAAAAGAAAATATAAAACCTAGGGAAGAAACTAACAGCATTTAGCAGTGTGATACTTAAGGGATGGAAGCATGAATCTATCTTTGAGTGGGTCAAAATAAAAGCAAATTAAAGGTTTTGTGGAGTGGCCTAGTCAAAGTCCAAACTTAAATCCTTTTTGTGATGCAGGGCATTCTTGCTTGGAAACCCTTCAATATGGTTAATTTAAAAAAATATATGCAAAGCACAGTGGACTAAAATTCATATATCATATAAAGGATGTATTTGTGTAATTATTCAGGTTATTTTATAGTAAAATTTGTCTGAGAGTCCCAAACATTGAAGTGACAAAAAAAAACCAGTACATATTTAAGGGAACAAATACTATTTAACAGCACTACAAACAAGGACGACAAAAATCAACATACATGAAGACATGTTTTTTATGTGTACTGCACTGATCAAAGACACTTACTTGTCTCCCCCATCTCATATTCACTGTCTCTTAGCAATTCAAAGATGTCCACCTCCAGCTTGCCTGTTGTAGAGCGGTTGCTGCTCCTGTTGATGTTATTTTTGGCCAGCGTGATGGCTAAACGCTCTCCCCTGCTGCACTCCATAGGATCATCAAGAATGGCAGCTGGCAAGAACAAAGTAAAAATACAACAAATAAAAATTGAAAGATACATTCTCTACACTTACAATACAAATCAGATTTTTTTTATTGACTTGAAGGAGTGGGACCTGCCTCACCAGGTGCTCCAGTGGTGCACAGGTGCATCAAGCTGGGGACTTTAGCATGTTAATTTTGATTTATTAGTTACATAGATTTTAATACGTTTACATTTTCAACACAATTATTCACTTTTTCTTTATTCCCGATACAAAAGTCCCAAGCAGGAAACTTTGCATTGCATTTCTGAGAAATCTGATGCACAAGCAGCATCTGCAAAAAGCAGCAATAGATGACAAAGCCACTTTTCTTGTTTAAAGAAAAACAAACAAAAAAGAAAACGATCTGATGGGATTGCTGGAAACAACTATTGTGTGCAAGTTTTGCAAAAAGGAGTTAACCTATTTCTGAAGCTATTCCATCTCAATGCAAAACATGTTGCAGCAAGTACAGATGTCTCCAACACAAATGTCAGTCCACATTTCTAAAGAAGTATTTTTTCAAAGAAATTATATTAGTAGTCAAAGGTTCCTGAAATACTTGAAAACTGAATGGCACTTGGCACCAATTTGATAGTCAAATAACCTAAATACCAGATTAAAAACAATATATTTGTTGTGGAGCTCATATGTCTCTTTATTCAATAATTTAACGGCAAATAAATTAAATTAAATTGAAATGTTGCTTATTTTGTCGATACATGGTTTTCGATTAAATTTCAATTAATTGTGATTCTTTTTCCTACATGGAATAATAATTTGTGTCCTTGTAAATCTTAGAAAAGCATGCTCAGTAATGAAATGGAAGCTACAAATGCACTATCAATCAATCTTATTAGAACACGGTTTTAAAAACTGCCTGCACGCTCGTCACCTGTGCAGACAGCTTAACTTAACTACCAGTACTAATGTCATGTTGCCACTTTCTTATATTATTCTGTTAGCAGTGAGAAAAAATATATGTTTTGTTGTTGCATGTGGCACGTCTTTATTCAAGGTTTATCGTATGGTAAGAACCTCAAACCAAGTCCAGTTTCTATATTACAACCTGAGTGTTTTAACATTTTTAAAAACACAACATAAGTAATCATTTTTGTTTGCTGCCCTAAGCACCTGCAGCTTTTTAATGCTTTCATGAAATCAGTGCAGTAGCTTGCAGAGTGAGTCTACAAGTAAATTAAATCAGTTTACCACTGCAACATAAAACTGTGCTGAGGAAAAGTGTTCCTCTCACATTTGATTTATGTTCCTTCTGGGTGCAATATTTACTATACTGTAAAACTGCAATCAGAATAACTAATTTGTCTCTTGTGCTGGGCTCTTCTAAGCAAGTTATAGAGAGATTATTTGTACTTTGTGCTCTATACATGTGAATAAGTATATATGCATAAGACCGCATAGAACATTAAAAAGCTACGGTGATATTTTTGCATGCATGCTGTGATATTTTAATCACATCATGAATGTATTCACTGACCTTTGACAGTACAGATATTGAACTGCTGGTTAAACATTCATAGCAAACATCCGCCATGTTCTGGGCTGTTAATCTTGGGAAGAAATTGAATGACATATGCTTTCATACATTTAAAATGAATAGTCTCACGGTTAACCGTCTCATGGTTTTCACTGTGTGTCTGACCCAGAATAAGATTTTTTATGACCTGTGCTGGATCAGTACTCATAAGAGCCCTAGCCAGATTTCAACGTCCCCTAAACAAATGTAGAATAGATCAACTTAAAGATGTCAACACAACCACTTCCTCAGGAGGTATTAACAGATATTTGCATGAACGCCAAGACCTCAGCCAAGTAAATAATGAAAACGACATCAAAGCAGCAGCAGATGAGTATCTGTCCTATTTGTTATACATAATTCCATGCTTCAACACAGCTGGATTTAAAGAAGGTCGTTAGGATGGTTTGTAGACACGAGGTACATGTTTAACATGGAGCACAGACTTCCTAAAGACGCAGGAATGATCGAGTGATTAGCAGTATACAGTAATGTGCTAAAACTATTCATTCACTCTTACAAATCATTGAATTCTGGTGAACCAATCATTTCAGACATACCTTCTAATGCAGACTGCTTCCACAAACATTTGTGAAAGAATGGGTCGCTCTCGGGAGCTCAGTGAATTCAGATAGGATGCCACATGGGCAATGAGCAAAGTTGTTAATTTTTTTTGTTTTTTTTTTTTGCTACTACATATTCCAGAGTCAGTTTTTAGTGGTATTATAACAAAGTGAAAGCAAGCCAGCTACAAAGCAGAGAGAAATGTGAAATTCACTTGGAAGGGTCAGAGGAAACTGATGTCTATACTGTTTTGTACAGCCAGCAGTGCAGAGAGCTTCATAGAATGGGTTTCCACGGCTGAGCCACTTATATTCAAACCTTACATCACTAAGTCCAATGCAAAAAGCTGGATGTGGTGATGTAAAGCATAAAGCAAGGTCCAAAGACATTGACGACTGAATGTAGTGTGTCCTCAAGCTCCAGGTAGACGTTTCTGTCTGGGATGAGTTTGTGTGGATACTGTGAGACAAATACAACTCTTAGAAAAATGTGGATTGCCCCCTAAACAAACATCTAAACTAGAGGAGCTGAAGGTGGGCCAATCCCTGATTAAATCCTTTGAATTAACTATGGGATGTCATGAAAATTCAGGTATGTGCAAGGGCAAGTCAACAAATACTTTATTAAGCTCAAGCTCACATTGATTTACAATGTATTGCACAAACATCATTTCCTATAGTACTTTACAGAAATAAAGAGTTAAAAGTCAGCAGCAAGGAAGATTCAAAAATAAAACAAAATCTGAGTTATTTGAATGTTATTGATATTTGAATGTTATTATAATGTTATTTGAAATCTGAGTGAGCGTATACTTACTTCTCTAACTTCAATTAAAATATAGGACTTAATCTACAAATTGGTAAATGCCTAATCGGAAATGATTTAGATCGGAACAACATCTCAACAGAGTTAAAAAAAAAAAAACTGATCACAACATCTCTAACTTTTTTTGTATAAGGTGAAAATGAAAGCCAATTAAAACGCTAAAATGAAATGCAAAATGAAGACTATGTGAGGAAACCGTATCTCGAACAATATTAAAGATAATGGTGAGAATCATTTTTAAAAAGCTCACCAAACTTACATATAAGATAATGGCAACTAATTTTACAGAAATTAGCAGTACACACACAGTATGTCTTTCTATCTTCAGTAGGACTTCCATTCATTTGTCGTTCATTCCTATAGTCTACTTGACCTTTACCTTGCACTATAGTCCTAAACATAACCCTAAAACAGCTCTTATTCTTATGGGGCCTGGGTGTTGGGCCCCATAAGAAGGAGTCAGTCCCCACAATGTAGAATTTATTCTTTACACTGTATCAAATACAATCTCACCCTAAAATCTAGCAATATTACCTTCTGTATTTACACAACAGTTATTTGGTTTTTTCTAGTAAAAAAAAAAAAAAAAAGTATCTGGCTCTGCGAACTTTATTAGCAATCTGTGGTGAAGGTTGTTTTTCTGACATGCGGACCCTCCGGAGCATGTCTAGGAAATCTTGTCTGTAGTGAAAGTGAGAAAAGAGCTAAAAACGTGGTTGGAGAGCACAACAGATTTAGAACGGCGCACATTACTACCCTACAGATTTGGTGAGGAACTTCGGATTGCAAGTTACACAGACAATGTGTATTGTTCTTTCCTGCATCTTTAGAAATCTGTTTTGCAATCATCCCAGAAAGATTTTTTTTAAACCATCAAAGTAGCTGACAGGGATTTTTAAATACCAAACGTTGCATTAAACTTTGCTCCAGGTATATAAAAAGCTGTTGGTCAGCTTACATGAATAAAGAAAGTTAAAGGGACAACACTGAAAAAAAGGGGAAGTTTTGAAATTGTTCACTTATTCATTACTGCAGAATTTGGTTCTTCAATCAAATTTCTTTCTACCAGAGGGAGTAGATGAGGTTCTTCAAGAAAGTTCTGTGGAGAGGTTGTTGGTAATTAGCATGGGGTTAAAATTCATCTTTTTTTTCTTATATTAATGGCGGATTTCCACCTACATGGTTTTGACACTTAGATTATCTAACTTAAAGCAACACAAATTGCTCTGTTGACTAAAATCAGTTGAAAATATGGCCTGATAAATATGCTGAGCCCATTCTAAAGGACTGGATAGCCGGTCAGAGGACAAATGTTCATGAAAAAATGTGTTTTAGAGCTTCTTTTGGCAGGAAGAGGGAAACTCATGCAGTAATTGACTGATAATTTTTATTTTATGGCTAATTGGTCTATGGGTACAGCTTTGGAATCCTGTCATTTACAATCTTCGATTTGCAGTTCTAAGACATTAGATTTTATGATATTGTTTAAAGTTTGAAACTTCCCTGATCTGTTTTCTACACCATCAGTTTTTATACTTCTCTGAATTGCGACCAATGGTTTTTGTGATCTAGGAATATAGATGCCTCAAGTATTCCTGGAGAAGGCTAGCAAAGAGTAAAAACACACTCTACTGAACTGTCTACTGTTTTCTCTTTTAGCTCAATGTCTGACAAACTCTTTAAGCAAATGGTAACTTCAGCAAACCTTTTTACCAGATCTTTTACAAATTAGTTCCAGCTAATGTGCTGTAAATACTTTGATGGACTTTGTCCTTAAACAGTTAGAGAAGTGTGTGGTGTCAAATATTTGTTGCCCGATTCAAAATATGTTTTTCTAAAACATCGCAATGTGATTAAATCGTTATGTAATAACATTAATACTTATTGTGTCATTCAAAGAACACTAGGACAAGAGATTTCCAATAAAAGTTTGACCTTTCAAAGTCTCCTTTTTAATTTATTTAAATAGTGTTTACAGCAATCACATTTAGATTTTTTTCAATACATTTTTTCCATGCTTAAAGCATTGACCTTTTGTTCTATTTAAGTTATGTTAAAGAATA